TGCCACCTTCTGGTCCCAGTTTTGGTTTTTTTTTTTTTTTTAAAGAATGATTTATTTAACTTTCTTTTTTCATTCATTTATTTTAAATTTGATCTGAGAGAGAGAGAGAGAGAGAGAAGGTAAGAAAGCAAGCCACCAGGTCTAGGACTCAAACCATCATCAGGCATGTGGGAGTGTGCACTGCCTTAACTACCATGCCACCCGCTGGTCCCCAAAAGAGGGTTTTTTTAAAAAGAGAGGTTAGGGTGTCTGCGCTCATGGGAAATACAGATACAGAAAGCAAGAAATCATCCCCCCCTCCCTTCCAGGGGAAGATGGCCACACTGCAATCCCTTCTCCACTCTCCTCCACTCTCCTCTTTGGATTTTGGGCCTGCACGCACATGCACCCAGTGCGAGTTCAGGCCACCAGGTCTGGGACTCAAACTGCAGTCAACTACGTTACGCCATCTGCTGGTCCCCTCACCTCACCTTGACCTTGATGGCCAAGTCTAGGTCAGGTGCCCCATCTGTGGGCTTTGGAACCTCTCCAGTGCGGATGGTAAGGGAACCATTCAGTGGGTCTCTCCCACAGGACTGTAAGCTCCACAAAGGCAGGGACGCAGCTCTCTGGCTTGCTCTTAGATCTCTTGTGCCTGTCCTGGGCTTGGCAAAGAGCTGGTCCCTCATAAATACTTGATTGTTAGGCTACTTGAAAGGAGTGAGGAGCCACTGAGAAGTTGGCAGCAAGGCTTCTGACACATGAGTCTAGCTGGAGGCAGGGAGAGAGGCCAGTGACCAGGCAAAGGCAGTGACCAGTACCTGAGCCAAGGTAGGGGACTGAGAGGAAAAACCGGTGGAGGTAAGAGGGCAGAGTCCACAGTAACCCTCACCATGAGGCTGTAGGAGGATCACGGCTGAAGCCATTCCAGAAACCATGAGAGGCATACCCAGGTGATGCCGAGCCTGACTTTCCCAGGTATCCGGCCCCTGGTCAGCATTGGTGGGGTAACTTCACTGTGGCTCTCTCACTTTCCCACAGCTCATCAAGATGAGAACAGAGGTACCAGCAGGTGGTGTGGTGGTTAAGGCGCTGGACACTCCCACATGGTTGACCAGGGTTCAAGTCCTAAACCTGCTGGCTAGCCTTCTTACTTTCTCTCTCTCTCTCTCACCCTCTGTCTCTCTGTGGTCAAATTAAAAAATAATAAATGAATGAATAAATAAAATAAATAATTATTAAAAAAAAGATGAGAACAAAAAGGTGGCAGGTGGCCTGTCATCTCACTTCATTAGTATCTACCCTTTCTTTAAAAAAAAAAAATAATTACTTTATTTAACTTTATTTCATTTGATCAGAGAGGGACAGAACAAGAGAAAGAGATGGAGAGGGAAAGTGATAAAGCAAGCTGCCAGGTCTGGGACTCGAACCATAAGTCCCACGCCCTTAACCACCACACCACCTGCTGACCTGGTATATACCCTTTCTAATCACCACACTACTAAATTGAGATCATCTGAGGGATCAGGCAATAGTATAGCAGTAATGCAACTAGATACACATGCTCAAGGTCCTGGGTTTGAATCCCAGGACCTCCCTAAGGACCCTGGGCACATGTGTGTCTGTGATGGTGTCTGGCTGAATCTGAGAGTGGATGCCATTGAAGGTACCTACCTGTCTCTTTGTCTCTCCCTTATTAAATAAATAAATAAATAAACTTTAAAAAAAAAATAGGCTGGCTTGGTGGTTAAGGTGCTAGATCCTGCATGACAGACCCCACAATTAGAGTCCTTGACTCAGTGGATTGAAAAGCACATCAGGGGCCAGCAGGTGGCGTGGTGGCTAAAGGTGCTGGACTCCCACATGAGCATGTGTGTTTCAAGTCCTGGACCTGGTGGCTTGCTTTCATACTTTCTCTTTCTCTCTCACTCTGTTACTTTCTGGTCAAATGAAAATAAATAAATAAACAAACAAATTAATTAAAAAGCGAAGTAATTCTTTTTTGGGGGAGGGGAGGTTTTTGCTAATAGGGCGCTTGAGCTCTCCAGAAAGACAGAAACAAACAGAAAGCAAGAGAAATCACCCCCCAGGGGGGATGGCCAGGACACAATCCTGTTTCCTCCATTCTCCTCTTGGAGTCTTGGACACGCACACACCATGCCTAGTGTGAGTTTAAGCTACTGGGTCTGGGACTTGAACTGTGGTTGACTACATGGGAGTCCAACAACGTAGCCATTATGCCAACTGTTGGTCCCTAAATAATTCTTTTTTTAAAAAGATTTATTTTATTTTATTTAACTCATTGTCATTATTATTATTATTATTATTGTTTTTATTTTTATTTTATTGAGGTTGACCAGAGAGAGACAAAGAGAGAGAAGTAAAGTAAGAAAGCAAGCTGTCAGGTCTGAAGTTAAGTAGTTCTTTTAAGAAGAAAAGAAAAAGAAAGGAAAAAAAAGTATACCAGGTCCATGTGCATGCATGCCCAGAATACTGAGAGGAGACGGAGGAGAACGGGTTGCAGTACACCCAACACCCCAGGGGGTGATTTCTCACTTCCCCTCTCACTGTCTCTTCCTGTCTCTCTTGAGCAAATGCACGTGCCCGACAGCAAAAAATCTTTTTAAAAAATAATACATTGGAACCGGCAGGTGGTGTGGTCGTTAAAAGGCTGGACTCCCATGTGATTGACCATAGTTCAAGTCCTGAACCTGGTGGCTTGTCTTCTTGCTTTCTCTCTCT